TTAACCATTCGCTGGACGACAGACAAGATCGCCAACTACAAATTTCTGTCAGATTTGGTAGTTTGTAGTCTGCAGTTTGGGGCTCCTCGGAAACGGAAGATTGTAGTTTGTAGTTTCTGGCTTGTAGCCTCTAGTTTTTCGCTTTGTTTTGTTAACCAATCGATCGACTGACAGACAGTATCGCCAGTAGGCTAATAAAAGTCGTAGTTTGTAGCCTGCAGCCTGTAGCCTACCGTACCCTTTCCAATGATAACGAGTGGTTTCTGTGGCTCCTTTCCAGAACATCAGCGGCCATTTGTGTGATGGGGAGTGGAGGGACAGAGACGGGAGGAGGTAGAGGGAACCCTGTGGAGGGCATCTAAAGGACCCTTGAAGGCTAATCCATAAGCATTTGATTACGGGGATGTTATCCTCTGAGATTCGACGGAAGTCAACACCAAATTTCCCGGTAGAATCAATATAAACGGTACCCGGATATACCGTACATACAAGTGCACACGGCCTGCAAAAATAGAAGGAAAAAATAGGCCTTTTCGAAACTTAAAATTTCCAAAAAATCAATTTTATTGAGTGATTTATTTCTAAGAGTAGCTTGAAAAATTAGATTTTTTTAAAAAACGGCGATCTAAAGAAATTCGATTTCGTAACAAATCTTGGATTTTTAAAAATCGCTAAATATTAGACTTTTTCGAACGTGTACTTTTGATTAAAGGCCGAAATTCGCTAAAAATCTCAAATTTTCTCACAACACTTGAATTTTATGAAGAATTAAAATTGAAATTGTAATCGTAATTAACTGAAATTTCCGAAAAAAATTACTTTTCTAAAATGTTTTTACCTTTTCGACGTGATGCGGGATGGCTTCTACAGTAGTCGGGCGGCTGACGTATTTGCATGCGGCTCGAGCAGTCTCCAATTGGGGCCATTCCTGAGGCAAATAAAAAGTTAAAAATGACCATTATCATTTGTAAAAATCGCTCGTAAATGTAGAAAAATTAAATTAAATTTTGAAAAGCCGCTAAAATAGCTAAAAATGACAATTGGGACTCGTAAAAATGGGCTAATAAAATGGCAAATCGCCAAAATGCTACTTAAGATTTTAAACTGGCTGGCAGCGTGCCAATTCCACACCTCAATTGTTTATTTGGGCTCCAAACTACAGTAATCCTCTCCAGATAATTTTACTGGCTGCCAGTTAAGCCAAAACTGTCACCTGAAAGGCGCCCTTCCCTCTTGGTCCACATCTGATGCTCCGCCAATACAGATCATCGGCCTGAAAGCCACAAATTGTGTGAATTTATGCGGTAATCAGGGACTGGAGACAGGCGATTTTACGTGCAAACGATAGACTGGCCAGCAATTGACAGTAGCATTAGCCAGTCCTCCAATTGCATGCAATATTCCAGGACCAGACACTACGAGACACACCGCTGGATGACCACTCAAATAGCCTAGCTGCTTGGGCCGCGTAGGCCGCCTGAAAATGGATGAGAATTTCAATTCTAAAAAAGTTTTTAAACTATTAAAAAATGGATAATTAAATTAATACAAAAAATCAAAAGAAATGACTTACAGCCTGCTCATTCCTGCATCCGATGTATTTGATGCCATGTCTGGGCGGCCATTCCCACTTCAATCACTGGGAATCCGACAACCCAAAACATGTACTCAACGCCCTAAAATAATATAATTTTGTAAAATACGCATTACAGTACTCCAGCTCAGCCTTGCAAAACAAAATGCTACCTGATGTTTGAGGGCCTGGCATAACACACATTCGCTCCGTCCATTGTTCACCTGCAAATTGGAAATATTCTTAAAATTCCGGAAAACAGTTGAAACCAAATTGTAGGTAAATTTTTAGGCAAACTGGCGGTCAGATTGATGAGAAAAAGAACTTGGACAAAAGTCGTTCTAGCAAAAAATGGGTTCAAATTGACGGGGAAAACCGCTGGAACTCATGGAATGGATTGAACAAAATATAAATACAAGTTTCTAGACAAGCTAGAAGCCTTATCAGCCAAAAAAATATTACTGTAGCTTGCAAAAACCTTGTAAAAACCCCTAGAAAAACAAGCAAAAACCTGCAAATCATGTAATCGCGAAAAATAGCCCGTGGCCGATTCCCCCAATTTAGGAGGGGGGATCGGGGTGTGGAGAGCAGATGTTTGATAAGAAGATATTAGAGGCGAGAGGAGAGAGTGGAAAGAGGATAGTTCTGTAGTCGCTAGTGTTTGATTGAGCGAGGGGGAATGGGTGGGAATACATTCCTTATCTTTTTGAGAACAGCTCCCTTCTATGGGTCGCCAGGCCACTGGCCAACATTTCCTTATAATCCCCTCTACTTAGCGATAAATATTTTCGCTGATTGTCTAATTAGCTATTTTATTAAATCCTCTTAACTGGCTGAAATTACACTGGCTTGAGCATTATTTTGCATTAACTGAGCTTTTTAACATACGTTGTGCAAAGAGATGAAATATGAAAAATATCTATTTTTTTATGTTTCAGTTATTTAGACCCATGTATACTTTTCTTTGCAAGATTTAAATGAACCTGTTAGGTAAAATGGTTACCCAGCGGCGGCTTGAAGGCCCACCGAGTTGAGGACGAGGATTTTGAGTACAACACTTGGGGATACCATCATCTATGCTCTTGGAAGTACGTTTTACGAGACTTTACGAGGAAGATTCAAAGCTTATTTTAGCGTTCGTATCCTTTTAAAGACGTCAAAAATCTAAATAATAATTTATTGTTACAAAAATCCAAAATTTTCGTGCGCTGGCCCTTTAAAATGCGTAATGAAACCAGCCGCTTACAGCGGCTTTGCCGCTACAAGCGGCTCGAACTTCGGGCTTCCCCCTGTGCGCCCCCTCCCCCTTCGATGAAACGCGCGCAACCTTGCTCACTATGCCCATCACTCCTTTTACTAAGGGAAAACTTTCAAAGTTAAATTTAATAAGTCAAAAAACGAATACTTTTTCATAATTTTTTGATCGGTTTTGGGTTTCTGACCACCATCTATCCGAATCCGAAGAGACCTAAGCTCTAGCTCCTTTCCCCTTCGAGTTGAATTCGGGACCGGACAAACGGAGACCACAACAAAATTATTATAGTTGATGGACGTATAAAGTTTTTGTAATTTTTTAAATTTTTCAGTCGGCGCGAAAGCGAAGACGATCTTCGCTACGTGGATGAGTTGGACGAGAATTTCCAAGTATTCCCAACATTCGCCGTTGTGCCTGGATTTGTCGTCAAATCGCTGGCCTTTTATCTGACCAGGTCAGTCATAACTTCTTGCCTTCCCGGTCGCTTTAAAAATAAAATTTATGGATTTTTCAAATTCTTAGAAAATAAACACTTAAAAATGGATTTTAATTCATTTTTGCGACTTTATTTTCGATAACAAACAATTTTTTTGGCTTAAGTCTGACTAAGTTTAGCTTATCTAGCTAGTTTTACAAAAAATATCCAATTTCTTTGCTTCCCAATACCTTTAAAACCGCGAAAATCGGCCAGAAAGGTTAAATTTAGCTCCATAGATTTTTTGCCCGAATAAATCGAGTAACATCCCGATTTTAAGCCGTGCATTGGCCTTTTAGCCTTCCCAGTTCCTTTAAAACCCTCAAAAATCGGCTTAGCAAATTGCGAAATTTAGCTTAATTTAACTTAAATTTAGCTTAATTTCATTTTTCCACTAACTCGAAAAAAACAGAATTCGAATTTTTGGCCTTTCCGTCTCTTTAGAATCAAAAACTAATTTTTACCAGGAGTATCCTACGATCTGACCCGCATCCTCCATGGCGAGCAATATATCGAATTCTACAAGCCGATTCCGACGGAGGGAAAATTGAGAAGTAGCCAGAGAGTGGCCGAGATTCTTGACAAGGGCAAAGGAGCACTCATTCTATCCAATGGTACGGCTTCAAGCGGCCTTTCAAAGGCAACATTTTGACTTACGGTAACCACCTACGATGATGATACTGGCGAGAAACTTGTTCATGCAACAATTCGCCACTTTTTCAGGTTCGAGGATTTCACCGATTACGCCACTAAATCATTGAAAAAATCACTGAAAACTCATAAATAATTTCATGTCGTAATAGTTTGGTTCAAACATAATTTCCTCAAAAATCCCTGCTACGACTTTTCGAATTTTCCTAGCGTAATCGATTCGAAATCCCGTATTTTCATTGCGCAATCAAATGGAAATTATTGATTTTCAGGGCGTCATCGATTCCAAATGCTCTATTTATATAGCGTAATCGAGTCCAAACCCCCAGATTTTCCTTGCGTAATCGATCCCAACCACTGTATTTTCATAGCGTAATCGGCCCCAAATTCCATATTTTGATACCGAAGCCGATTCCTCGAATTCCAGGTGGGTGCCGGTGGTTTCGGTGGGGCCCGTACCTCTCCTGAAGAATTCCAAACGGCCAAAATTCCGGAGAGGAAACCAGATAGAATTGTTGAGGAGAAGACATCTCTCGATCAGGTATCGGTCTCTCTCTCTCTCTGTCTCTCTCTCCTCTCTCTCTCTGTATCTCTCTCTGTCTCTCTCTGCCTTTCTCTGCCTCTCTCTCTCTCTCTCTCTCTATCTCTCTCTGCCTCCCTCTGTCTCTCTGTCTCTCTTGTCTCCCTCTGTCTCTCTGTCTCTCTCTGCCTCTCTCTGTCTCTCTCTCTCTGTCTCTTTCTGTCTCTCTCTGTCCTCTCTCATTAAGACTCTGTCTTTGCAGGCTGCCCTCTACCGTCAAGGATCTGGAAATCCCAACCCTCTCCATATCGTTCCGTCATTTGCACAGGTCGGTGCATTAATGGATGATTTTCTAGGAGGGAGCTGGCAGAGGTTTTTGAGGAAATTTCCCAATTTTTTCGAAGCAAATTCTTTGGGAAATTAAGAAATTAGGCTTCAAAATTATTGCAGAAGCTCTTGAGGAAATCCCAAAAAATTTAGGCACTCTAGCTGAGAGATTGAGGCAATTATAAAACCGTCGTTTCAGATGTCGGGATTCCCGGAGCCAATCCTCCACGGTCTATGCTCGATGGGATTCTCAGCCCGTCACGTCATCAACAGCTTTGCGGAGAATGATGGAAATCGATTGAGGGCTATCAAGGTACAGGACGGGCAAGCTAGCAGGGTTTTTTGGCGGAAGAGGCGTCAAAATTTCCGAACCAATGTTTTTCGAAGGCCAGCTAGCAAAGATACGCCGGGTGATTAGCAGAGGTCCTTTGTGGCAAAATCGACTCAGGGTTGGCAGTCTAGCAGGGATTCGTAGGGAAAAGTTACCCTCAGACGCCGATTGCCAGGCTAGCAGGGTTTCTTTGAGACTTTGGGGCAAGCTAGAAGGAATATGCTATGGGGCATCTAGCAGAGTTTTTGGGGAAATTGGGTCGCTAGCAGGGATGATTCGAGAATTACTAGAAATCAATTTTTTCATGTTTTTAGGTGCGTTTCTCCTCCCCGGTGCTCCCAGGTCAAACCCTTCAAACGGAAATGTGGAAAGAAGGGGATCGAGTGCTCTTCCAGACCAAGGTACCGTAATCCTCTAATTGCCATTTTTGAGATGGTTACTGTATTTCCATTCTTTATATTTTAGGTGAAAGAGACGGGGAAAGTGGTTATTGCAAATGCGTGGGCAAAAATCGATGGAATGACTGGTGGAGCCGATGCTGGATGTCCAGTATCCGCCCCGAATACGGTGGGTGTTCAAAAACATAGCTTTTTTGGTTTTAAAGGGACAGTGACAGCTGAGTTTTTTGACTGTAGTGATCCCTTTAAAAAGGTGATTTCCTTTGTTTTTTTTGGGAACTTTGGGATGTCACTGTGCCTTTAAACGACACGCAGCGCGACATACACCGCGACACGCGACGCGACGCAACGCTTGTGCGGCTTGCAACGTTCGTAGTTCATTACACCATCGAATTCCGACTCAGCGCGTTGCGTGTCGCGTCGCGTGGCCGGGGAGATCTATAGCGGAAAACGATGATTGGATTCCCAGTTCCTTGAAATAATTTTCACTGTTTTGCGCTACGGTAGATTAACTTACATGACACTGTCCCTTTAAAATTGGATTTTCGACGGTTTTTTTTGGTTATTTTAGCAGAATTTATCTGCTGTCACTGTCCCTGCAAAATTTGGGGTTTCAGTTTCTGGGGTGCAGGAGCTTTAAAAAACGAGTTTTGGACCGTTTTCGGGTTATTTTTTTGGTAGAATGTCGGTGCTGTCACCGTCCCTTTAAAACGAAATTTTCGGATTTTTCAATAGAACTTTTTGCTTGAATTTCATTCTTTGCCCTGAGCGTGTCACTCATCAAATCCGTATTGTATTGTCGGCTTATCAAATCCAGAAGAATTGACAGAATTGGAAGGGAAAGAAGCTAGAGTCTTATCACACACTTTCCAATGCCCTTCCCCCTCCCTGCCGGCTAACAATCCGCCTCCAGATTCCCTCAATTTTTCGGCTTTTTCCGGGTTTTTAGCTCCTATAAATTATTCTAATGATCGCATTAAAATCGAGCCAGCAAATAAATTTTCAAAAACGAAAAAATGCAAAAAATTCAAATTTAAATTTAAATTTTCAAGCTCAAAATGAAAATATGTAATTTTTCAGGGAAAAATGACGCTGAAATCGGCGGCCCTTTTTGACCAGATCAAGGTAAGTGGATTTTGTAGCAAGTTTTAGAATTGTTAATGGCTTGCAAAATAGCAAATTAAATTATGACATTTTTTGAGGTACTGAATTTTTGTAATTTTGACTCACCGCACCCAAAAAAATTAGAAAAATGTTTTCCAACTTTAATTTCCAGGCCGAACTCCCGAACCACACGCAAAAAGTGAAGCAAGTGAAGGGAATCATTCAATACGAGCTCACCTCTGGAGGGAAAGTCGTCGGGAAATACAGTAAGTCAATTTATACGCAAAATACTGTATTACAAACGGTTCTAAACTTTCTATTATAACGTTAAAAAACTCCAAAAAAATGATTTCCCACGTTTTTTAAAAGTAAAGAAACTCGAAATTTCCGGATTCAGAAATCTTAAAATTCAGTAAAAAAAAGCATAAATATGGATTTTCAGCGATCGATCTGAAGAACGGAGACGGTACCGTTTATGAGGGAGAGGCCAAGGAAAAGGTATTTTTGTCATTTAAATTTAATAAAATTACTATTTATTAAAAAATATTTTGCGCTATGCTCCAATTTAAGAAAAATTGATAATTTTAATTTTTCAGGCCCAAGTTACCGTAACCGTCGACGATGAGGATTTCGTGAAATTGGCCGCCGGAGAACTGGAACCAACAAAGGTACGAGAGACAACAGACAACCTTTTTTGGCTTTGTAGTTTGTATTTTTATGTATTTAATCCTTTCCATTTTTCAGGCATTCATGCAAGGAAAGATCAAAGCCAAGGGAAATATCATGATGCTCCAGAAACTACAGGGACTTCTCCAGGGAGCACAAAAGGCCAAGCTATAAAATGTAAAACCTGTAGATTAATTAACTGTATTTGATTGAAGCAATAAACGAGTAGAGTTTTTGACGTTAAAATCGCATTTAAAAGTAGACGCACCTCAAAATCAACTGATTCTATTGATCACCAAGGGTATCAGCGCCGTTGGGCTCCCCGGAAATAATCAATTGGCTGACGGCAATCGAATACACACGGTTCGGCCGCCCTGAAAAAGCATGGCACTAGACAAAGCAGTGAAAAGGGATTGCTGTAAACGATGTAATTTCTGTAAACATTTCTGGACCAGCGTTGATGGCAATTCGGCGTTTCCATGAGCAAAAAAGGGGTGCATTAGGTGAAAATAAAAATCAAAATCAAATCTGCTAAAAATCTTGTTCATCTGCCTGAATCCATCAGGAATGCTGCCGGAACGACCTAAACTATATATGGGTCGGGGCCTGGGGGCGCCGCCAAATGCCCCTCTCGAGGAGCCTTTTGGGGGCGTCTTGGGTGGGGCCGAGGGGCGCCGTGGGTGGGGCATTTTTCCGGTATGCAGCGATGCAAATTGCAAAAAGTCATCTGAAAAGCGTTTTTTCGCAATTTGCATCGCTGCATACCGGAAATGCCCACACCCACGGCCCCAGGCCCCAAAGAGGCCCCGGGGAGGGCGGCGCCCGCCGGCCCCCACCCAAAAACCTAAACCTAAAGTGAACCACCGATAGATTGGTGCCAAAACGAAAAAATAGTGCAGAAGACAGACTGTTTCGGAGAATGGTTCTTATTCAAACCTTGTTCAAATTATTCAAACCGGTTTGGTTTGGTTTGAGTTGGGAATGCTTATTCAAAACGGGTTTGGTTTTGAATAAGGATCGAAATCCTATCAAAGCCGGTTTGAATAAGCCGCACTCTAGCAGCAACTCATCCCGGTCCGGATAGTTGACTGGCCGATCATAATATCTGACTACGTTCTCATGCGACAATTCCTAAACAAGAATTTTGTTTATTTTCCGTTAAGCTACCTTCAGCGTGCGTAGTTCCTTCAGATCACCCTTATAATCATCGGTTTGTAGGCATTTTTTCGTTTGTGGGAGGGCTTTGGATCGCTTGGTTTCGTGCTTCTCGATTTTGACGCCCCGATGCGCAAAGACAGCACCGCACAAGTATAGTTGTGTTGCGCAGTTAGTGCAGCGAAGGCCGTGCTTCAAAAGCCACACATGGGCTGTTTTTGCCTCGAGCACAATCCCCCATGGGTTCGGTCCAGATGGTTCAAGGGAAAGAAAGGGTGTACTGTACGTGTTTTTCGCGCGTTACGTGCGGGCGCGCGGAATAGCAACCGTGTTTAGCTGCGCAGGCCTGCTTTCGTAATCGCGCGACGCGTCCTTCGCACGCGTTGCGGTATTCCCTGGTTTCCAAAGCTATCGGATGTTTTATTAGGAGCCCGCCGCTATGTGAGGGCAGCAAAACTTGAGGCGCACTAAACGAAATCTGACGACACAGTCGACACGGGCCTTTACAGCCTCTTTAAGTGGGGAACCCTTGCACAAGAGGTTTCGCGGTGGATTTATGTGCAAGAAAAGATTTGGAGGCTACCCTTTTAGGGGCTCGGCGTTATAAGCTTATCAAGGGTGAGCGGATCGCGGAGACGTGAATTGTTTCTGGTGGCCTTCGAACGCTCTCTCGACCCCCTCTCTTTCACCCCCACTGTTCAGCTCCCTCTTTTCAGGTGCGATGAATCAATAGCGAGAAACCACTTGTGCAACGCTTCTCCGCCATTGTAGCCTCATTTTGTATTTGTTTTGAGAAGCAACGTGTATTAGGTTGGAACTAAAGTTCGCGCAATATTTTTCTTTCTTTTTAATTTTCGGACCGGAAAACGGGCAAGAACCAAAATCTTTTTTGGATGACAGGATGTGCAATAAAATTCTCTATTCGATGTGTGGGACGGAACCGCGTTGCTTCCCTATTAGAATTTTTTAAAGCTGGATTTAAGCGAAAATGAAAAATCGCTTCGGCCCGCCTTTACAAAACAAATTTGGCTTCCTTTTTAGGCTAATTCGGCATGCAGCTGATAGATATAACTTATTATCATAGTGATGATCAGTTCCTATGGTGACTTTATGGCGGTTCGGAAAGATGTCCGGGTCAAAAATTTGAAGTGCCCTCGAGAAAAACGCAAAAATCTTCAAAACTACTGGGGCTAAAAACCTGTAATTTTGGTCCCATATACTCATGAACCCAATAGATAAATGCAAAGAGGGAACATCGGAATCTGGTCACTAAATTTTCAGAAAGAAATTTCCAAAGTTCGATTGCGCGAACTTATGTTCCAACCTAATATTACTGATGATGCTAACTTTTGTTTTGCAGATCCTCCAATCATTTTTGTTCTGGAAGATGGCGATGAGACTGCTTGGAGAGGGTGGACAAGGAGAAGTATGGCATCTACCCGATACCGAACCGTATGTTTTTTTTGTTCATAACAAAGAAATGTACCTGACAGACAAATGGTGATGAAGAAGGTATTTCACACAAACAATTACGCCAGCTATTTAAGGGAGCTACGAGTTTTGAAGGTGATTTTCTTTAGTATAAATGTGGACTTACAGCGCTTAGGAATTTTCACATGAAAACGTGGTTAGATATTATGATCCTCCCTTCAATTATCCTGGAATCAATTCAAACGAATTGTTCTTTTTATGGAATACTGTGAACATCTTTCATTGCGACATGGTACTGCTTTCGATCTATTGCATAGGTATTTTTAGTTATTACGGATGTAACTGTCGCGTATTCAATGGCAACAATTGCCAAATGGTCGACAGAATTGTTTAGCGCCCTCGAATATATCAAAAGCAAAAAGATAGTTCACCATGATGTCAAGCCGGATAAGTGAGGCAGCAGTGGGAATTTATCTCTGTTCATAGTTTATTCGTGTATGGCCATGATTACATCGTGAAATTGGGTGATTTTGGAATTGTGCGTGATCTGAAATCCAGCACAAAACCGCGAGGTGGAACCCCGGGCTATAAGGCACCGGAAGTCGAGCACGGTCTCACACTGAGTGTGGATGTGAGTAGAAAGCATTCATGATAGCAAAGTCATAAATATTTAGGATGTCTATAAATGTGATATATATGGAGCTGGATGGGCTGTGTTGGATATGGTGACTAGAAAGTAAGAACGAGGAAAAAAATATCACCCTTTAATCAATTTTAGTCCTGGTAGCCGAGCCATGGAGGCGGTATTTAAGGATAGACTGCATTTAAATACCATGAAAAAACTTGTGGCCGGGTGAGCTGGCAATAGTATGCATCTACTTCCGATTAGATGTACAATAAAATTCGTCTCGGAACGACTTGGTGTGGAAGACGCGTTGAGGCTATGCGAAGTAATGGTAAAGGTAGGACGGAAAACAAAATTTATACCTTGATCTGATTCTAGGAGTTCGAAAAGTCTCACGCGAAGCCAGATCCGCGCCCCGACCGCAAGAGACTAGAGCCTCCGATGGGATTATTAGGGGATGAAGAGGACGGTTTTTCACAGTACGACGAAATCTTACCGCCACCGATTTGCTCATTTATGATAGAGAATACTGAATTGGATGCGGAATCGAGACAGCCGCACGCGAAGATCGATCCGCAAGAAAGACTGCTAATTGATCTCCAAGAAAGGTTGCAGCTTGTCACGACATTCGAAGGTACTCAAACTGGTGTAATTAAAGACTATCTGGATTTCTACGAATACAGACTTCCATCCCCGATGAAGGCTTCGGATAAATTTCTCAAACCAAAAGCCGTGAAACCTAAAGATTTTAACGAAATGAGAAGACGTTTAAGCGGGCCCATTCTCCAGGAGATGTCAAGGCTCTCGATTGAGGAGCAATGCAAATGTGCTGAAGAGATGGGAAAATCTTGGAGGATCAATGCTCCGCAATTCTTCGAAGATATGAAATACGGCCCTAACTACAAGTTTACCGAGAAGTGCAAAAGGTTTCGCATGTCAGAAAAGCAAGACGGAATAGAAGCGATACTTTGGTGGTTTGAGAATCTACTCATATTTGATGCTTGCGTGCAAGCTTATCTCCATCGCTTTGCGGCTAAGGCACTGCAGCAAGCAGATCGCGAAATACTACTCGAGTGGGATACCTTGTTATTACTCGACCAGAGCATTAAAAACATTGAGGAATTGGGAAAACTATTTACTGTGAGAGCCCTGTATAAACTCGTGAACATCGAGAATTCGCGATATTCATGGTACCTGTCGGATCCTACCGACCCTTCGGGAAAGGGAGTCCCAAAATCTAGGGCATGGGCGGGCCCTCAGGCTTGCATAGCCCCTCGGGGCCGATCCGCAAAGGCCCACGGGGAGTTTCGAAAGTCCCTGCGGGGAATTCCGAAATTCCCCGCCGGGAATATCGGAAATCGGGGGCTGACTGGGCGGAGCCCAGCAGCCCCTATATAAGCCTGGGGCCCTCGCATACCAGACACACACTCAAATAACCCTTGCTGAATTGCTGTCGCCCTGCTCAAGGCTACAGTAATCCAGCAAAGGAGAGTGTGGGCTTCCGAGCCAGCGATCTCACCGATCATCTCCCTTCTCCGAGACCGGCCCTTACCGTTCCTCCTATTTAAAGGTGGAATAAAGGCCTTACTCTCAAACCGTGTCGCCCACAACTGACACATTAAAGACGCAACTCGCATTTGGGCGCCACATTTTGGTGCGTCGGCCTTCTTCACCCGGGCCGCATTCTACCGTATTCCCTACCCCATCCCGCTTACTACAACTCTAAAAGCCCATCACTTCTCCCCCTTCTCAATCAACTATTTCGTCGACAACTACCGGCCCAGCTGCCCTCCAGCCGACCACGAGTCTATCCTGAATTTATTCCAAGCCCCACATTTTGCAGCAGTGGGCAGCGTAGCAGCCGCACAACAGCAGAGTCAAGTAAGTAAAATTTTTAACTAACACCTTTTTGCCTTTTCGAACAAAAACCCTTTTTTTTTTCTTTAAAAATCCACTGAAC